GCTTAAAAACTCATATCTCAATGAGTTTTTATCCAATTTTAATAATTTTATTATTATTAGAATTAGAAAAACCTACTCTACAACTTTTATATAAGGATTAAAAATTATTACTTAATATATTTTTTAAAAAATTAAATATAAAAAAAAATTATAAAAATTTGTAACTAATTATATATAGAAATAATTAATGTTGTACTTTATCTTTAAAATTACACATTTTTGGTCTATAAGCAATCTACTTTTTTTCTTATAATTTAAAAATAAATACTGCAAAAAAGTAATTTTTATTTACAAGCATTATTATACTAAATTTTATTTAAATATTTTAACATTTTAAAAAGGTAGATTAGAGCTAAAAAAATGCAATTATGCAGACAAATTTGTTTGCAATAACTTACAATTTAAGAGATAAAGATTAAGAATATATATTAGAAAATTTGGATAATGCATAAACCTAAAGTTTAAAAATTATATTATCTAATATAGATTTATTACAAGATTGAGAAATGCATTTGATGCATATATTTAAATTATGTATTGTTCATTTTAAATAATAATTATTATTATAATTTATAAATATTATATATATAATTCTAAGATTTAAAATAACTAATACTAATTATTTATTTATTTTAAATTAAAATATATAATTAAAATTTTGTTTAATAAACATTTTTTGCAAGAAGTTAATAATTTAACAAAATCAATTCTTAATACACCTTTACATGAATTTATAAAATCAATTTTAGACAAAATTGAATTATTAAATGAATTAGATGCAAAAGATAAATAAATAAATTAATTTTTTAATAAATTATATACTAATAATATTTTTAAAATTTATTATATAGAATGGGCTAAATATTATAAAACGCCTTGGATAATTTTATTTTTAAATATACACATATCTAGAATGAAACATGAGATTTGAAAAAAACATAATAACAATACCAATTCAGCAGAAATAAATCATGCCTTAGTAAATAAAAAAAAAAAATAGTTAAAACTTCTATTAGTTATTTTATAATAATAATAATTTTATTAATTATATAAAATTATAAAAATTTAATTATAATAAACTATTAATTTATTTATTTAGTAGAAAGTAATATGATGAAAGGTTATTAAAAATTAAAAAAACTCACAAGAATTTAGATATCTCATATACAAGAAATGATAAAAGTAAAGTTAAACAGCAACAAAATGCAATAAATAAAAAAATTAAATATTTATTTTATAATTATTTATTAAAATGCATATACTAATTTTTATTTATTTATTTTTATTTAGCAACAAGATATAAGTCTACTAAAACTAATAGACATAAAAGAAAGATTTCTACTACCAACAGTTATAATAAAAGATTATGTCATGAAACTAGTTTATATGATGCAATTGAAGTAATGGAAATGGAACCAACAAATAATGATAAATAACCATAAGAATGAATTACTGTTGGATATTGAATTGGAAGAGAAAAATTTCTTTGTTTGAACGTCAAACTAGAATTAGAAAAGAGGCTGCTGAAGCGGAAGTTAAAAGCAAGCCTGTGTTTGTAATTCTAGATGGTTTAGATCTATTTTAAAAAAATAGGTTTATCTGTGTGTTTAGTTAAAATTAAATACACTTTATTCTTTTATTCGCTTGCAATTAAATAAATTAAGATTGTAATTCGAAATGTTATGCTTATTATTAATATTGGAGTAATGCTCAGGAATCGAACTCAATTATTATTTTTTCAATAATTAAGTCCGATATTTTAAAAACGCAAAGGTTTACTTTTTTTGTGTTACTTATTTATTAAAAACAAATATCGAATGTACCAAAGCATAAAAAACCATTCATATGTACTTGTACAGATGTTTTTTTTTTTTTTAGAGTACGTACTATCAAAATTTTGCTCAATTTACTAATTTGTATTACCGTACCGTACAATTTTACTAACTACCTCTAGTTAATAGGTAGTTTTATTAATAAAAGCGTACAAGTGAGTTTAATAGGTATTATAGATTTAAATAGAGACCTCCCAATATTATCACATTTGTTATTTTGTAGTACTATCGTTAAGTACTATAGTATATTAATTAAAAATTATGGTTAATTATCACGGGTAGGTCTATAAAAATTAACCAATCATACGAATGTCTTCTTATGAGGTTCTTCATTTGTTTTTTTAAACAACTTTAGCGCACCTCCAAATATAATAGTTACGTATATAACTCATAGATTTAATACATTTAATCTGTGCTTTTGCAAACTTTGCTTGCTAATACGACCTAAGAGTATAACTACTCTTGACTAGAGAAATGTTCACACCTTTAGTTCTAATATTGATTATGCCAACGGAACACTATATCTAAAACCTAAGATGAATCTAAAAAGCTAGGTTTTAAAATTGAAATCTGATTTTTTTAAAAAACCAGGTTTTAAGGTTTCGAATATAAGAACTTTATCATCCCCAATAAGAATGCCTAAGTTCGTTATTAGCAGCTTTATTATACATGGGTATCGTAATTTCGTACATATTCTACCGTAAACAAGTACCGTCCCCTCTATCCCATTTTTTTAAATGTCAGATTAACGAAAATAGCTTGGCTAAATACTTATTGTGATTTCTGCTAATCTGACATTTTAAAAAACTGGTAGAATACTTGGAGTTATCCGGTACCTTACTATGATCGTACCAACAAAATAATTATATTACCGGCAATTTCTTAACATTAAATAAATGATTGGATCAAACTTTAATAATCAACAAAATCCGCCCATACGTATAAAGTTTACTGATCAAATCGATATACTGACCAAAACTTACACAAGATTACCCTAGCAAAGATATAATTTATATATTTTTTTTTAAAAAAAAAAAAAACCGCCAGATTAATCCCGTTGTTTGTTTAAGTGTTGTGGCAAATTTCAATTAAAAGTTTCTATAGCGATAGCGATAGAAACATGAAAATTCCTTATCAAATAATATATATTAAAAAATTATAATTGATTGAAAGGTGTCTACTTTTACAAATATAAATTTATGTGGGGAATCTGATGAATCTTGAGATTTTCTGGTTAGTAAAAATTAAAAATCTGATGCAAACAGGTCTTGAAAATTCTGAAAAAAATCTGGAAAATAACATGATATAAAATGATCTACATTTGTTAACACCTTTTTGAAAGCAACTTAAGATATCAAAATATTGTAAAACAAAAATCAGGAAATCGTTTAATTAGGAAAAGAAAATCATTATGAAATTTCACTCGACAGCTCAATAATTTTGAAAGTTAAAGTTCTTCTGGTTTGTCTTTATTTCTAGTTTGACTTTATCTTAAAAGAATTCACTGAAAAACTGTTATTTTGATACTTGTAGGTAAATGAGCCAAATTTTCAAGATTTCAGATGTAATTTTTAACTTTAATTTTATCAACACTGAACAGAATTAATATTATATAGTGTATATACCTTAATATGAAAAGGTCAAAGCCACATCTCATTGTAATCAATTTTCGTTACTTTATCGCTGTTATAAACCAGTCTTCAACCATAACTATAGTCCCTATCGTTATAATCACACAAATGATAAAATTGCAATAGCTTCCTAAAGATTTTAATTCAACCAATATCTAACTATAAATATGTTAGTAAAGGGAATTTTATTGTTTCTCTTGACTTACTTTATACTCACTAGTCTCGCTTACGAAAGCTATGATGGTTATTATTATGATAATGATAATGGTGGATCTCATCATTCTACTTCTCATCCTACTCCCACTTACAAAACGAGCGAGAAACCGAGTGGGTCTAATAACGCTCCAAGCTCTAACGTCAAGCAATTATCACCGCTTGCAAATACGCCTACCCAACCATTAACAATTGGAGCTAATTACGTATCATCTAGTACATCCACCGCATTAGTAAAACCGATTCCCCTATCTAGTGATGTTGGTCAGCTGAAATCTAATTTCATGATGTTTTCTATGTGTATTTTGATTGTTGCCGGCTTCTTTATGACTCTCTAAATCAATTTATTGCAATGATGGTGTATTATATTATTTAAGATGTATAAAATAAGAGAATACACGTTTTAGTGAGATTGGACTTTATATAATCTGTAAAAAAAAAAAAAACATGTCATTACTATAGAATTGACCCTGAATATTGTAGTATAGCATTTTTGTTTTTCCTCAATTTTATTATGTAATAATAGTCAAAAACAAGGACTTCAACTTTTCACGTGTACAAAGGTTAGAGTAATTCTGTTTTATCTGATCGGGTAAATAAAAGAGGAACACTGTTGATTTAGGGTGTATCTTTTAAGATGGAAGTGTTTCTTGAACTTGAAGAATTAATAATTGTGACAATTTTACCTTTAGGTTAGTAGAGGTTAGTAGCCTATATTTCAAAAAGGCAGTTCCAGGTACAATGATAGATTATGCCATGGTTTATTAATTAGGGTTGGGCTCTGTTTAAGGTTGGGGCAAGCACTATGGGTAAAATTGCTACCATTTTTTTTTAGTGCAATGTTTAGATTTTCGTTTTTCATATTCTATCTTTTTTTATCTACGTATGTAACAAGATTTTGATTTATCGTAACATATTGATATTATTAAATCATTTAACGTTGAATAATTTAATCATGAGCACAGCTAGTTATTTAAATCTCTGAAATCTTATTTCTTGAGTTAATAAATTAAAACCAATTGGAAGTAGAAAGCCGAAAACTTAGTAAATCCTTAAATGATTAAATCAATATTAATATATAAAGTTATTCATACGATCAAAATATATATTTTCTAAAAGCTTGATAAGTGATTATTTTTCGCTGTGCGGACTGTGCGCAATACATAGAATCAAAATTTTGCACACACCTTTGAACTGATGTGCGGAAAAATTACCATTTTGTAAATAGCGCGCACAGTTGCTTGTAGTTTTTCTTTATTTTTCGCACAGAAAAGTTTTCAAATTGTGCGGCATCCATACAGTAAATTTTAACCGAAAAATTAACGCTTTTTTATTCAATATATTTTTTATTATGTCTTACAAATATTGAGAACTAGGTTTAACTTAGGTTTGGAACTTATTATATAAAACCTGGAACTTGATTTTTTAATTTGGAATCTAAAGGTTTTAAAACCTAAACCAAACCTAAACTAACTTTACCATCACTAGTTGGTATTAACGTTAATGTTGGTGTGTGACTGGTAGTTTGGGATTGTGATTGCGTTTCTTCTATTAAAATTGACGCGAATAAGAAAACTTTTAAAAATTACCTTTTTAAAAAAGAGCAAAGTTAATAGCATACCAGATAATAAAAATGATCTAAAAACGGGTTGCCAGTTGCGAAGAACCATAGCAACAGCTAATAAATATAATATAAAGAGTTAAGTTTATATTCTATAATAATAAGAATAAAATAAAAATAAAAATAACGCGAACCTTCACATCCATTGTTTAATTCTTCAATTTTCAAGGCCATTGCGTCAAAGTAATTCACTAATTCCTGAGAAGTTTTTTTTAAAACTAATAAATTTTCATATTCTTGTTGCTTTTCTTGTAATTTCATTGTTGACATGTTTGCAGTTTCAAAAATGAATAAAGTTGAAAAAAAATTGCGAGGTATAAAATCTTGTTTATCCCGACATGAGTACTAAAAATGGAAAATGAATGCGGTTAATCATGTGTCCTAATGATCAACAGATAATGAATGTAATACATAAACTTCGTATTATCCATGCACAATACCAAAATTTGATGATAACATATTTTAGATGGGAAAATCATCCAAGGATAAACGTGATATTTATTATCGATTAGCAAAAGAGCAAGGTTGGCGAGCTCGTAGCGCATTTAAATTATTACAGATAGACGAAGAATTTAATATATTCGAAGGTGCTTGATCAAATTTTCATCATTTTTTCGCAAAAAAAAAATAAAATAATAAATCATATTCTTTGTAAGTTTAGGCGTTCAACGTGCTGTTGATTTATGTGCTGCACCAGGCAGCTGGTCTCAAGTCTTGTCAAAGAAACTAAAGTATGTTCATACATTTAAAATCATTGAACAAAAATCCAAATTATTGGTAATCAATAAATGTCCCCACTATAGTGAAATTCGTCCGGAGGATGCTCCGTTACCAAAGATTGTTGCCGTAGATTTGCAAGCAATGGTATGTGCATCTACTTTTCGGTTTTATTAAATAACAGATGATATGTATTCTAATTCATTTTAGGCACCTCTTGAAGGTGTAATTCAAATCCAAGGTGACATTACAAAAGTATCTACTGCTGAACAAATTGTTTCACGTTTTGAAGGGGAATTGGCTGACCTTGTTGTTTGTGATGGTGCTCCTGACGGTAAATCACTTTCTAAATTTTATTTCTTTAAAATACTTCTCCTTCTAACTCTAATAATTTAAAGTGACTGGCCTACATGATATGGATGAATACATTCAAGCACAGTTATTATTGTCGGCTTTAAACATCACAACTAATATATTAAAACCTGGCGGAACTTTTGTTGCGAAAATTTTTCGTGGTAAAGATGTCACTTTATTATATGCTCAACTTAAAATCTTCTTTCCAACCGTTACTTGCAGCAAGCCAAGAAGTTCAAGAAACTCCAGTATTGGTCCGTGCTATTTATTTGGTTATCTATTTGCAATGCGTTTTTTCTAAAATTTTCATGTTCGATTTTAATATTTTTCTAGAAGCATTTATTGTTTGCCAAAATTATTCGCCACCCAAAGATTATAAACCAACAATGATAGATCCTTTGCTTGATTTATCATACGGTTTGTAACTTAATGTGATATCTTTTTTTCTTTATAATAAAATTGACTGGCTTAATTACCTATTAAGGTTTAGGAAATGAACTTTTGGGTCCAAATCGTGTTATCGTGCCATTTATAGCTTGTGGAGATTTAAGGTATATTAATAATAGTTTAATAAATAAATATTCTCTTTGATATCATTAAATGTTTTTTCTTCTATCCAGTGGATTTGATTCGGACATGACTTACCCACTTGAGGTAAATTTATTATGATTAATTTACAATTAAGTAAAATTGAATTTTAACAAAGTTTCTACATTACAGAAAGAAAGTCTGGACCCTTTGCAACCTCCAATAAGTGCTCCATATCGGACTGCTATCAATTTAAAGCAAAATAACTTTTTTAACAAAATTTCATAAAACACTGAATTATAATTTTATATAATTGTTTTATATATAATATTGCTTTGCACTTCTGCTAATAAAGCTTTGTTTTATATTTTATATAAATAAATCATTTTTAATATTAAACCGAAATTTTTATAATTTATATTAGATTAAGAAATTTGGAACCTATTATTAGGAGTTGTTTACTATGGTAAGCTACTTTATAAGTTTTCAGCAAGTTGCTATAAAATTTAATGGTAAATTTACTAACAACTTACTATTTTTAATAATTTACTGTAATTTAATATAGAGAATTGCTATTTATTACCGGTAGTGATCATCACTGGTGTATTTGTAGTATTATACATTGCAACTGCAACATTATACATAGCAACCGCATAAAAATTTGCGGTCCCGTGATGATCTACGCTAAAATTTCATTGGCCAAAAACAAACTGCAAATCGTCACGCATTTTCGATTAAAAAATTAACTTTGACATTAGGATAAGGGTGAGCATTGGGATGTTAGTAATAAGGACCCCGCATATAGCAAAATTTTGCAAGGAATTTTTTTGCTAAGACGCGAAAGGTGGTTTTGTAATCAAAATTTTGAGTTATAGACGAGTTTTTAAAAACAGCCGGCAGTTTGTTTTCTTTTCACGTTACACCTGATCGTGTGTCGTGATTGGTTTACAATCACGTGTCTGCGGAAATTTTATGCGGTTGCTATGTATAATATTAGAAGTTGGAGTTTAAGGTTGTAATTTCGTTACACGAGTGATCCTCATGTCACACTTAATCCTGCAAATTTATTGGCTACTACACAAAGAGATGATTACCGGCAAAATATTAACTGTAAAGTGTTTTTTTACTTAAACAGTTTTGTTAAATAACTCTTTATTAAGATTTGTGCTTTTGTATATAACAAGTTTAAACTTAAGTTTATAAGTTTACCATTTTGCAATTATTTTTATAAGCATTTACAGATTATTTGTTAGCACTAGTCTAGTAAAATTATAAGTAATACTGTATTTAAAATGCATTTAATTATTGTTTTATAATAAAATATTATTAATTTAATAATATATTTTTTTATAAGAAAACAAAAATTTTTTTTAAAGTATAAAAAATAATAAAAATACTTAAACAAGAAATAAAAAAATAAATATAAAAAAATAAATAGAATTTATATTTATATTAAATAATTATGATTATTATTTTTTTTAATATTAATATAATTAACAAGATGTAGTAACTTAGTGAAGTAAATAAGTTGTCAACTTTTTAAGTGAAAGGTTGTAAGTTCAAAATCTACTGATAACAAAATTTGGATTTTTATTTATATTATAGCAATTGTTTTTAATAATTAAATTAAAATACTTATAATTATGATCATACAGTATTAGTATAATTGACAAATTATGAGACATTTGTATAACTAATTATACAAAGAAATGTAAACTGACATTAGATAGTGCAAACTCAAGATAAGTTTTTATAAATGTATAAATTCATAAAAATTAGAAAATAAAAAGTCTATATAGAAAGATCTAAGCAATTAGGTAACAGAAATCTTTAACAGTACTATTGTAAAGTTTAAATCTAAAAAACAGATACCAATATAAAGAAGTTAGACAAACAAGAATCTTAAATAAAAAGTATTATCAATTAGGTCATTAGAATCAGATCAAAAAAAAAATATTAGTCTAACCTAATATATTAAGAAATAGATTACAGTTTTATCAGTTTATTTGAACAAAAACAGTAATATACTAAAGTATTAGAGATATAGTACTGAAGTTTAGATGAACTCTGTAAAGACATAATAGTTTAACAACTAGTTCTAATTATAAGTATTAGTTTAATCATAATAATATTAGCTTAGTTATAAAATAAATATACAGAAGACTCTGAAAGGTTTATCTTAAAGATAAAATAGTTCTAAGATTAAAACAAAAATCTAAACATAATCTAGTAAAATTAATATAGATTACAGATTTAGAAAGTTTAAAATAGAATATTCAAACAAAGATATTAGATATGGTATTAGTAGAAAACTTTTAAGTAGATTTCTTAAATAGATAATATTAAAAGTTATATATATAACCAATTATATATTTTTTTTATAGTAGTTTCATATAAAATCATATTACTAAAAAAGTATTACTAAAAATTAAAAGATTCAAAAAATTATTTTAAAAAAAATATTAAAATAATTTTGTAAAAATTTAGTATTTTTATTAATTGAATTTTTTTTTTTTAAGATAAATATTTGTAACTTAAAATTTTATTAATAATATATTATAATTTTATAATTGTATTACAACAGTTACAAAAACAATTATAAAAAAAGTATACAACTAGTCACTTTTATAACTTTAATTATTATTTAATTTAAGTAGTTTATTTAAAGGTTTTATATTAGGTGTTATACTTAGAACTTATTTGTAAATCTTTTATTTAAACATTCTAGTTCTTGTTTCTATCTATTTATATTATATTTACTGAACTTTTAAAGCAGTTCACTATTATAAGAAACTTTTGACTTTGTACTAAACTTACTAAAATCTTTTGTTATTTTTTTTTTGTTTTCACTAAAGCTGTTAGTTATCAGTAGCTACTGTCTTTATTGTAAATTTAATTATAATTACATAACTTATACAAGATAACTTCTATACTATACTAGAAAATAGTATACAAGTTCCTATATACTGAAGTGTTGTCTAACCTAACTCTAACTTTCTTATCTGTATATCCATTAAGCTGTTATATATTTCAGAGTATATCATTTGACTATAAAACTCCAAAGAGACTTCTGTTAATTAACTATTCACATTTAATCTTTGTTAACAAAGTTTGCTTTTATAAAGTTCACCTAGACCTCAGTATCAACTTTATGGCATATCCTTAATACTTAGCTATATTCTGTTTTAGTTTTCAGACTTCTAATTCAGATATTTCAAAAGAACTATAACCTGTTTCTAATATTTTAAGAGTCTGCTTTCTAAGATCCTTTTTCTCTAGTTTGAAACTTTTGGCAGTTTGATTAATAGTACTTCTTACTGAGGTTCTTGTCTGTCTGATTCCTTCTATATCAATATTTATTTTCTAGGTCTAGTCTTTATAGTGATATTATTGAAGATTTGTGCTACTTCTTTACTTAGGTTTTTTTAAGTAGACTTTAGCTTCTCAATTCTATAGATTTATATAGCTACAAGAACTTATCTTAGATTTGTATTATCCAATATTAGTTTGCATTTCTCTATATAACTTCAACATTGCACAAATGCCTTATAACCTGTCAGTCATACTAGTGCAACTATAGTTACAGGTATCTTATTCTAACTAATCAATAAATTGCTATTGTCATAATATCACTTACCTTCTATAATGCTAATATTATATAGATGGTTTTCTAAATTTATACTATTAGTAAGTTTTGAACTTCTAACCTATCACTTGAAGGGTTAACAACTTATTTATTTCACTGAGTTGCCACATCTCATCTTTTATTATTTTAATTTTCAGCTAATTTGATATTTTATTATAATTAAAACTAATATTTGCAGTTAAGATTAACTATTAAATTATTATATTTTTACAGAATTTATATAATCTTAGTACTTTCTTTTATAATCTTATTAATATTTTGTATATTTTTAAAACTTCTTTTATATTACTAATTTAGTTAGCTCTGTATAATATAACTTTATATTTATATCAACTAGTTAGTCAGATTAAAAAAACTAATACTTATTATATAAATATAACTTCTTTCTCAAACTCAAATATCTGAAACCTTTTAAAAACCTAAACTTAGATATTTGAAATCTTATAAAAACCTCTTATAAATATAAAATATTTTTATAATACTTCTATATAATACAGTAACTAATAATTCTTATAGCAATATAATATAATAGTCTTATATATATATATATATATATATTTTTGCCTTAAGCAGTTATACTAGTACTTTATTAAGATTCTTGAAACTAAATACATATATAATTACATAAAATTTCCCAATATCTAAGTTTAGCATCACTTGGTTACCCTAATGGTATCTAAGTGCAACCTGCTGCATTATTTTAGTTAGAGATAGACTGCTTGTCTAACTACTTAAAACTATATCAGAAAGGTCTTCCCTCTTCTGTGACAAGCATACTAATTGTTTTCCAAGCTACTTTTTTTCTCTGACTTGTTTTTTCTATTTTTTTCTCTTTCTTTTTCTCCTTTTCTTTCCCTTTTCTTTTTATTCTTTTTTCTTTCTTTTTGCTACATTCTTTTCTATCTGAATACCTTTTTTCATTTTATTTGTTATATTAACTTCTTTTTCTCACTTTTGTATCTTTTCACATTAGACTCATCATATTTGGTTATAAAAAGTATTCCATATTGTTCTTGTTACTATGTTAAGACATTTCTTTACTGCTTGCTTATTTAGCAACTTATTGAGTCTTTTCTTTGCTTCTATTGTTGTTAACTCTTTTATTAGCACCTTTCTATTTGGAACTTCTTCTGCTTCTGTTTTCTAAACAGTGCTTTGTATAATATTTGTACTGGAATTCTGGTTTTTTCCTCTTCTTTAAGCCTATTTTATACTGTTGCTGTTAAAACTTTTTGTATTCGTTTCTATATACTTTTTTGTTCATTACAGCTTGCCAGATGCTCTTAAGTTTCATCTTCACTACTTTGACAGACTTGACATTCTGTTGTTATATATACTTCTGGTCTTCTTTTATTTAGCTCTACTAGTGTTAGTAGACTGTTCATTATATACTTGATCATTGTGGCTCTTCTTGTGCTTAGTTTTCTTAAAATACAATGTACTTCTTTTGTTCTATTTATCTCTTTCCAAAAGCTTGACTAGTTGTAACATATATGTTCAGTTTCAGGTTCTAGAGTTCTGATTAAGTTTATATCTCTCCAATTGGCTTCTATTCTAGTGTTTGCAATTATTTTGCAGAGAAGTCTTGCAGGTATATCTATTTTTTTCTCTTTTCACTCTAGTTGGTATTCTATTTCTTCAC